CAGATTGCTGCCTCAAATAAAATAGGTTTTTTCTTTTCTAATTTACTAGGTAAGAAATGAAAAATGAATATTGGCTAGGCAATGAGCAACCTGCTCCCCTTCTCACGAAATCTTTTAAGCTCAGCTGCTCCAAAAAGCCACCTTTAATTATGTCTTTTCTCCATCTCTTCTCTGAGCTCCAGTGCTGATGCTCCAGTGATCATTGTAGAAACAACACATATTTTCTGAATCACTGTTTTGGTGTTTTATGTGTATGCCAGCCTCCCAGATCCTAATCCACTAATGATTATATGCAATTATAAATTCATATGGGCAAAGTCTGTATTTTACATTTCTTCTTTGTTTCTCTTACAACTTAAAAAAGATTTTTAAGGTGTAAAATGAAGTTAGTGATATCTATACTGTTATTGGAAGAAACAAAGAAACAGTACACATGAAAGACTAAAATGTACAGTGTTACATACACGTCCCTCCCTCTCTCTTTCTCTTCCTCCCTCTTTTCTATTATTCCTTCTTTCTTCTGGTTAAATATAAAGGGAAGCCATGGGAAGATGGAATGCAAATATTTTATCTCGGCTGGGGGAACGCCGTGTACAAATTACTGGTGGTTTTCGGGACCTGGAACTAGAGACATCCGCTTACGTTGGGCCCAGCTCCTCTGTTCTGGGCGTATCATGAGAATGACTCTTTAAGTCCACACCTAGTATCCTACCTGCTATTAACATATATTCATTTTCCCTGTCTTTGAACTTTGTAACTGTAAAATCACACCTCAGGCTTTATTGAGTCTGGCTTCTTTCAATGCACATGACATTTGTGAAATTCACCGATGCTGTTTTGGTATAGCAATAGTTTTCTTGTATGACTGTGTAACAATTATTAACCCATTATGTTGTTGACAGACATTGGGTTATATCCGTCTTTTGACAATTATAAATGATCCTGCTCTGAACATTTTTGGGCCTGTCTTTTGGTACGGTGTGTATGTGTTGGGCATATAGCTCGTTATGGGAGTGCTGGGTCATAGTGTATGCTTATGTTCAGGTTTATGAGATATTTCCAGATTGTTTCCAAAGTGGCTGTACCAAATGATATTCCCACCAGCACTGTGCAAGAGTTCGGTTGTTCCCCATCTTGATCAATATACTAGGGAAGAGTCTACCTAGACTCTTGTTTGGGACCAAAGTGCTCATGGACTTTGCTGCTGGTCGTGTTGGTGGCGGCAGCTCTCTGTGAATTTCCCTCAGGCAAAGAGTGATTCCACATCCAAAGTCAAGCGCCTTCTGCTGGGAGTAGATCTGTGGGATGGTGATGGTGCTGGTGGTGGAGGAGGTGGTCATGGTGGTGACGGTGGGGTGGAGACAATTTCCAAGGGCCATCCCAACTCTGAAGTTTCTTGCAAGACTAATTGAGGCCTGAATTGCAGAATTTTCCCCTCTGTCCAGTCCTATGTCCCTCACACTTTGAAGATGTTTTACTGCCCAGCAAACCTCTTAGTATATAAGTTTAGAAGTGACAGATGATGTTTCCCTGGGACAGTGATTAGGACAGTATTGTTAGATTTAAAAATTTTTTAATTTTGGCCCTTCTGGTGGGCATGTGATTGTGGTTTTATTGTCCATTTCTGCAATGGCTAATGAGAAGGAGCATCTTTTCATATATTTAATGGGAATCTATCTCCTCTTTCGTGAAGCGGCTGTTCAAGTCTTATTCCCTCTTCTAACAGGTTATGCATCGTATTCTTTGTTTGATATGAGCCCTTTGCTGGATAGATGTATTTCAAGGATCTTTTCTCACTATGGCTTGCCTTTTTTACTCCCTAAATGATTTCTTCTCATTTCCTGAATTTTAAAATTTTAATGTGATCCTGTTTAACAAAGTTTTCTGTTAAGTTTGGTGAATACTGATTTTGTTGAAGAAATACTTGTGCACCCCAAGAGCACAAAGATATAAGGTGTTCTATTCTTAAAAGCTTTATTGTTTTACTTCTCTCCTTTGATCTAAAATCTTCCAGCAATTCTTATTTTGAATGGTATGAGGTAGGGGTCAAGATCCATTTTTCTCTATATGGCTATCCAGGCAATCCAGCAACACTGATTGAAGACCTCGTCCTTTCTCCAGTGCACAACAATGTCCCTTTTGTATGTGTGTATGTGTGGCTCTGTTTCTGGATTCTCTGTTTTGTTCCATCTGTCTGTTTTTCTGTCTTTCCACCAATCCCCACTCTGTTTAAATTACTGTAGCTTTGTAATTAGCATGGATACTTGATATACATCCTCTTTAACTCTTTAAGAAAAACAAAGAGAATGATCTTGCCTATTCAGGATCCTTTGGATTTTCAAAGTTTAGACAGTTTGTGAATGCATACAAAAAAATTTTCTGGGGTCTTTTTTGTAGATCAGTTCTGGGGAGAGTTGGCTTCTTTATGATATACCAGGTTTATGGATTTTGAGTCTTTTAATACATGAACCTGGTATATTCCTTCATTATTTAGGTCTTCCTTAGTTTTTTTTTTTTTTTAAGTTGTAATTTTCTGTGTAGCTATCTTGTGCATCTTTCACAAGATGTCTCACAAAAACATCTAGGTTTTTATGATTGTAAATGATATCTTTAAAACTATTTATATTCTGGGGTGCCTGGGTGGCTCAGTGGGTTAAACCCTCTGCCTTCGGCTCAGGTTATGATCCCAGGGTCCTGGGATCGGGCCCCGCATTGGGCTCTCTGCTCAGCGGGGAGCCTGCCACCCTCCTCTCTCTCTGTCTGCCACTCTGCCTCCTTGTGATCTCTGTCTGTCAAATTTAAAAAAATAATAAAATTATTTATATTCTAATTGTTTATTAATGATATCTAGAAAACAATAGATTTTTAAAAGGTTTTTAAATTCATTTATTTGAGAGGGGGAGTGAGAGAGAGAGATGGGCAGAGGGAGAGGGAGAAATAGACTCCCCTACTGAGGAGGGAGCCTGATGCAGGGCTTGATCCCAGGACCCTGAGATCATGACCTGAGCCAAAGGCAGATGCTTAACAAACTGAGCCACTCAGGAGCCCCCACAATTGTTTTTTGTTATATGAATTTTCTTTCCAGCAATCTTGCTAAATTCATTTATTTTAATTCTAGTGTCTATATATTATTTCTGATTTTTTAAATATATAAATATGTTATTTGTAAACAATGACAATTTTAGTTCTTTCCTTTTTACCCTTCTGTTTCCTTTTCTTGTCCTGGTTAGTACATTGAGTAGATGTGGTGTTAATAGACATCCATGTCTTCTTCCCGGTCTTAGGAGGAAAACTTTCAATATTTTACCTTAAATAAGATATGTCCTATTTCTTATCAGATTATGAGAGTCCCTTCTAGTTAGCTAAGTGTTTTCCTAATAAACTTGTGTTGAATTATGTCAACTGAGCTTTTTTGCCTTTATAGAGATAATTATATGATTTTCCCCTCTTTTTCTGTCAACGTGGTGAATTATGGTAATTATAATTGAATGATAAACACTTGCATTCCCGGATTAAGCCCAGCTTGGTCATGATGTACTATCCTTTTTATGTTTTCTTTCCTGATTAAATTTGCTAATTTTATTTTCTATTTTTAAGATTTTATTTATTTTAGAGATAGCACGAGTGGGGCGGGGTTGGGGGTAGAGGGAGGAGAGGAAAGAATCTCAAGCAGTCTATGAGGGGCTCCATTTCACAACCCCGAGATCATGACCTGAGCCTAAACCAAGAGTCAGTACTTAACCCACTGACCCACGGAGTCATCCCTACTGATTTTAAAAATAAGTTTTGCTTCTAGGTTCATGAGCTATTTACTAGCGTAATACATTACTCTCCTACAAAGCCCTTGTCCGATTGGGGTATAAAGGTTTCATAGGCTTTAGGACTCAGCTAAAAAGTATGCGTAAAAGTATTTCTCTAGAAGAATTTATGTAATATTTTTCTCCTCACCCTCCTTTTAAAGGTTTGGAAGAATTCACTAGCTGATCTGTTTCATTATTTTCTTGTTCAATTCTACTGAATTCATAAAACATTCTGAATGATTTTAATATTTGAAATTTCTTGATCCTTACTTTATGGCTTACCATGTAGTCAATTTTAGTAAATATTCCTTGTGCCTTGAAAAAGTATTCTGCCATTGTCTGGTTCTGTGTTTTACCTATATTAATTATATCAAGTTTCTTAATCAGGTTGTCTAGATCTTCCATATGTTTGCAGATTTTTTTCTTCTTTATTCTTTAAGTTACTAAGAGATAAATTAAAATCTGGGGCGCCTGGGTGGCTCAGTGGGTTAAAGCCTCTGCCTTCAGCTGGGGTCATGATCCTGGGGTCCTGGAATCGAGCCCCACATCAGGATCTCTGCTCAGCAGGGAGCCTGCTTCCTCCTCTCTCTCTCTCTGCCTGCCTCTCTGCCTACTTGTGATCTGTATTTGTCAAATAAATAATTAAAATCTATTGTAACTGTGGATTTGTCTATTTTTTGGTGCTGTCAGTTTTTACTCTCTGTGTATCCGAGTTGTATTATTTGATACACACAGCTTTAGAATAGATGATTTCGTGATGTATTGAGACTTATTCTTATGAAATATCCCTCTTAATCCTTAGTAGTGCTTACTACCTAAAAGTTTTCTTCTTTTCTAATACTAGTGTAGTTATGCCACCTTTATTTAAATTAGTGTTTTCATGATATGTAACTTTCTATACTTTTTTTTTTTTTTTTTTTGGAAGGAAGCATACTTTTATGTGCAGATCCCTTCCACCATAACTGATGTAACTGGCCAATCCAGGCTTCCCAGGGCTGGTTGGGGTCCATGTGGAATGTTGAGGTATTCACCAGGGCTTGTGAAAGCTGATAGATCCATGGTTGCTGGGCAGATCAGTACTGTGGAGGGGCTGCTGTGATCCTCTATAGAGCTTGGCTTTGGGCTGATCTCCAGGAAGCTGGGTGAGGGGATTGTGGAGTTGCTGCTCAGTGACCTGAGTCTACAACTTACTTTCCACAGCCTCCAGTGAGAGACCGTGCTGTGTCCACCTGTCATCTGATACTGGTGAGTTTCTTATTTAGATTCAGACTTGTTCAATCTGTTAGAAGTCAGCTTTATGTAAGGCATGATTTTAAAGCAGCTCACAGAAAAACTGGCTGCACAGATTTAGGAATAATTCTGGATAGTTGACAAGTTTAGCATTGTTAAAAGGAGTATGCAAGGATTGAGAAATTTTTAGATGCCAGGCTAGAGCGTCCTTAAATATGCTCAGCCTTACAGACTCTTATAGAAAGGTGAAGAGAACATTTTTCTTTTATGAAATATTGCTCTTAATCTTTAGTAATGGCTTATATCTAAAAGTCTTGCAATACTGGTCTCCTTTTTAATAGCTTTGTTTTAATAAGTGTCTTCATGATATATAATTTTCTTAATTTTTAAAACTTCTACATCCTTATTATTTAAGGTGTGTCTTTTCAAAGTAGGAGACAGTTGGCTTTGATTTTATTTCCAGTCTGAAAAGCTTAGCTCTTACATTGAGTATTTATTTGTGCTTAATTCAGTTACTAATATATTTTGAATTCTACCAACTTAATATTTGTTTCACCTGTTTTATGCTCCTTTTTTTCTTTTATTACTTGCTTCTTTTTGGCTTAAATATATTTTTTAATCATTCTAATCAACTTGTTGGTTATACGTTCTTTATTTCTGGAGATTATTACTATATTCATTCTCGAATTATTAGTGTCTAATACAAATTGGTACTTCTACATAGTGACAGGACCTTGGAACGTATGAGCTCTACCTTTGATGTTTATGTTGTGCGTTTTAATTTTACACAAATATAAAATTCCATGAGACAGAATTAGTAGTAATATTGGTGTTTTCTTCATGTAGTCCACATTCATTTAGGTTTACTTATATATTTACCTTTTCTGGTGCTCCCAATTCCTTCCTAAATTCTGTATTTCTGTTTGGGATCATTTTTCTTTTCTTTTTCTTGAAGATTATTTATTTATTTATTTGACAGAGTAGGCAGAGAGAGTGGGGGAAGCAGGCTCCCCGATGGGCAGAGAGCCTGATGTGTGGCTCGATCCCAGGACCCTGGGATCATGACCTGAGCCAAAGGCAGAGGCTTAACCCACTGAGCCACCCAGGTGCCCCTCATTTTTCTTTTTCTTGGAGAATTCCCTTTAGTAGTTCTTGTAATGTTGGTTTTATGACAATCAGTTATCTTTTTCTTTGTCTGGAGATGTCTTTATCTCACTTAGAGTTCTGAAGAATGCATTTATGGTTATCTCAGTCCCTCCTCTGGCCCAGTGTAAACACTTCATGCCCCAGACCTTGTGCTACTCTTCTGACTGGGCTCCTGGTGCTGACTTTTTCTTCATACCCACACACCAGCTTTAATCCACCCAAACCTGGGAAGGGCATTTCTTTCTTGTCTAGTAACTATGGACAAGTGAGTCCTTGGGCAAGCCAGGGAACTTGTTCACCATCCAGTGGACTATAACCACATCTTTTCCAGTTAGGTGTGCATCCCAGCTTTAGGATGAGGGCTCCCTTCTACGTTTGTCAATCCTTGGGTACTTTCCTCAGGGCTAGTGTATTTATAGTTACTCCTCTGTTAGAGTCAGTAGTTTTTGTTGTTGTTTTGTTTTTAGGTTTTATTTATTTATTTATTTGAGAGAAAGAGAGCATGCATGAGCAGGGTAGGGGTGCAGAGGGAGAGGGGGAGTTAGAGAATCTTGAGCAGACTCCATGCTGAGTGTGATGCAGGGCTCGATCTCACAACCCTGAGATCATGACCTGAGTCATAACCAAGAGTTGGTTACTTAACTGACTGAGTCACTCAGGCGCCCCTGGAATCAGTAGTTCTTCATATCGAACTTTCTGTTTTAGTTACAGTGTGATTTATTTCTACTGACTGAGACCTGAATGATATACCAATCTGCATCTCCAGGATAAATCCCCATGATCTTGAAGCATTAGTTTATTGGATATATATTATACATATATATAATATATTATATATATTATTATAATTATATAAATAATATATAATTATAATAATACATATAATTAATAATATATATTATATATATCCCAATATGCTAGATATATATTATTTGATTAAACTTGCTAATATTTTGTTGTTTTACATCTATGTTATAAGAGATAATGTTCTATAATTCTGTTGTTTTTTTTTTTTTTTTTCAGATTTTATCCATTTATTTGAGAGAGAGAGTGAGAGAGAGCACGAGAGGGGAGAAGGTCAGAGGGAGAAGCAGACTCCCCACAGAGCTGGGAGCCCAATATGAGACTTGATCCCAGGACTCTGGGATCATGACCTGAGCCAAAGGCAGTTGGCTTAACCAACTGAGCCACCCAGGAGCCCCTTGTTTAGTGTTGTGTTTTTTTTTTTTTTTTAAGGATTTTATTTATTTATTTGACAGAGAGAGACATAGCAAGAGAGGGAACACAAGCAGAGGGAGTAGGAGAGGGAGAGGCAGACCCCACACTGAGCAGGGAACCTGATGTAGGGCTGGATCCCAGGACCCTGGGATCATGACCTGAGCTAAAGGCAGATGCTCAATGACTGAGCCACCCATGCAACTAGTTCTGTTTAGTTTTAATGTCTTTATCTGGTTTTGGAATCAGAATAATACTGACTTTATAAAATGATTTGGTGTTTCTCCCTTGACTATTTTCTGGAAAACTGTGTATAGGTTTGGTACTATTTCTTCCATATATGTCAGATGGAATTCACAAATGAAGTGTTCTGGGCCTGGAGTTTCTTTTTGGAAGTAGTTAACTATGAATTAAGTTTCTTTGATTGGTAGTGGGTTGTTCAAGTTTTCTATTTCTTCTTGTATCAATTTTATAATTTGTGTTTTTCAATGAATGTGCCCATTTCATCTCAGTTGTCAAATTAATTGGTATAAAGTTGTTCATAATATACCTTTATATCCTTAAAATCTTTGGGGCCTGTGGTGATGTCCTCTTTTTCATTCCTGATACTGGTAATTTGTCTTCTCTTCATATTTTTCTGGATCAGTCTGGGTTGGAGCTTGTGAATTTTAACATCTCCCCCCACCCCCCGCCAATCCAACTTTTGGGTTCATTTATTTTCCACATTGTTTTTCTATTGGGTAGACCTCATTTTTGAGGTTCCCTCACCTCTGTCATCTTGTACTCTTAAAATTGTGCCTGCTAAGGCAATTTTCTAATTATGTCAAATAGACTGACTGCCTTCAAATAGATTTCATTTTTGCATTTTTTCTGGCTTTTTTAGTAGTTCTCTGCAAGAGCACATGTTACTTCATTACAGCCAGAAGCAGAAATCTGAGAGGAATAATTCTGGGTGGCTGGTATTTCAGGAAAAGCACTAATTTGGAGGCAGATTCATGGGTTGAAGACTTTTCTCTGTTGCTTACTAATATTGCTAATAATGACCTTGGGCAAGTTAACTTGACTAAGCATAAGTTTTCTTGTCTATAAAATGGAGATAGCAATAATATCTTACATCAAAATATTTCTGTAAGCATTAAGTAATTCCAAGTAAAACTGTTTAAATGAACTATGACAAGTGTCATAACTATAGTATGGCTCATATTTAATTTGTATAATTGTGGATGCCTTGAAGGCAGAGACTGAATCTCTTTTTGATCATGATTCCTCAACACATAGCACAGTTCCTGGAATATATTTTGATGTTCAATAAACATTTGTTGAGCTCAACCAAAGCTATTTCACATTAATGGTTAAAATTCTCACTTACTAACCAAGAGGAAATGCTGAACTGTATACCCATAGTTACTGATAACATCTTAATTAATACAGATCATGCTGAGTTATTGTTTATTATCATTATTTAGACTAAAAATGTATACAGTGCTATATATAAATTTCCTGTATAATTTTTATAGGATTATCTTCTTTCTGGTCACAAATGAGAATATGTACTGAGAGATCTATAAATGGTGGGAAATTCCCAAGGATTGTCTCATAGGAGGAAGCAGTGGAAAAATGCCCTGATTTTGGTAATGTTGTAGATTGAGTGTGCAGATATAAACTGAGGTTCCTAAGACATGTGTTACTGAAGCTTGTAAACTCTAACCTTGTGGCCACATTCCTTTATAATTTGTGCAAATTGGTCTGTTCAGAGAATTACCTACCTACACTACCTACAAGCCTCAGGTTTGTGTGTTATCTTAACACCATTTCTGGTGGAGTTTTCTCCCCCTACCTGTGTGCATATCTCTCTCATCAGTCTTAAATTTAAGTATGAAGTTCATTAGTATGAAGTTTTCCCAGCTTCAATCTTCTACATACCGCCTTCATAATTCATCTCCACATGTATGTACCACTTAAACTATTTACCTAAGATTTTCTTTGAACTCATTTTCTTTTTCCTAAGAAAACTTCAATGACTTCAATGGCTTCAATGAGTCAGGGATGGTGAACCTTCCAGAGGGAGGGGACTGGAAGAAGGAGCAGCAGAGAATTCAAACAGTAATAATTCCTACCACATTCACCGCTCAGATTTGAGTGAGAGGTGGGGAAAGAGTAGAGAGGCATTTCAAAGAGAAATCTATTCCATAAATGAAAAGGATAAAATTATTTGTACTAATTTCAATACCAATTTGAAATCATTTTACCCTTTTTCCCCCTGGCCTTATTTGAGATGTGGTTGACCTATCACATTGTTTAAGTTTAAGGTATATAACATAAGGATTTGGTGTATGTACCTATGGCAAAATGATTACCACAGTAAGAGTAGTTAACATATCCATTATCTTACAGGGTTTCAATTTTTGTATCTGTGGTGAGACCTTTTAGGATCTACTGTCTTAGCAACTATCAAATATGCAGTATCCCATTGTTAATCACCATTATCTTGCTGTACATTACATCCCCAGAACTTGTTCACTTAAAACTGGAAGTCTATACCTTTTGACCATCTTCCCCCATTTCCCTTACCCCACCACCCCTGGCAACCACCTATCTGCTTCTGTGCTCTGTTTCTATTTTTTTCTATTTCTACTTCCTTCCCCAGATGCAGG